CGACGTGGCCCGCTGGCATGTAGGGGCCGATGCAGGCGTGCGCAAGGTGGCGACTGGCGTCAACGGCCCGTTAATGGAAGCGCTCGCCGCTCGTACCGATTTCCAGGACGCCGCGTGCATCGAATTCTTTCGCCGCGGCGCGCCAACGGTGGGCCCGCTCCCAGTCTCGGGAAGCGGCGTGCCTGTGCAGCGTCCCGACGCGCAGCCGGTCTCAACCGTGCTAGGGGGCGCCGCTCAAGTCAACCGCGCGTTGCTGGCGCCCCTCAAAGAAGACGCTCATTCCGCGACGCTGCTGCAGCAGTCTTTCAAAGAAGCGCGCATGGGTCGCGTGACCCAGCCTGTCACGGCTGAGCAGGCCGACCTTCGTGCACACGCATTGTCGCCGCGCTTCGGGGTTGTGCAAACGCGGTCCAATGGCGACATGCGCGTTCGGGCTGTTGACGATCTAACTCGCGCGAAAGTAAGCGGGCGCACCTCGGCAGGCGAGAAGTTTCGCCCCGAGTCCATCGATGCGCTGTATCGCGTGGCGAGGGGCGTGGCGCAGGGCACGCGCGAACGCATCATGTTCTACAAAGCCGACATTGACTCGGCCTTCCGTAAGCTGCCCGCCATGCCGATGCATCGCCGGTTCCTGTTCTTCGTTTTCCTCGCGCAGGGCGTGGCCCATGTGACAGGGCACCTGGCCATGCCCTTCGGCGCCGTCGCGTACGTGCATGCGTGGGAGAGGGTAGGCGCGCTCATTTCGCACCTTGTGCGTCGCCTACTGTTCATTCCGATGCTGCGTTTCGTCGATGACCTCTTTGGCGCCGAGCGCGCGGCATGCGCCGAGCACGCGCTCGAGTGCATCGTGCGGCTCGTGCGCTGCATCCTCGGCCCTTCTGCAATCGCGGCGGACAAGGTCGCCGCGGGCATGCCGCTTGTCGCCCTGGGCCTTCAGGCCCGCGCAGACCACGGCGGTTTCTCGTGCCCCCCCTCGCCCGACAAGGTCGAGAAGTGGCGCGGTCGCATTGGCGACGCGTTCTCCTCGGGCGTTTTGCGGCCGGGGGGCGCGGCAAAGCTTGCGGGCGCCCTGATGTAGGCATGTTCGGGGATGTTCCATCGCATAGGGCGCGCGCTCATCCGGCCCTTGTTCGCCCACTCGAAGCAGTGCGGCGTGGTGGTGCCGCAGCAGCTGCGCGTCGCACTCGAATGGTGGGCAGAAGTCCTAGCGCTGGAGCTCTGCGAGACCCGTGTCTGGGCACCAGACCAGCGCGAGGCAGCGCGGCTCTTTGTCGACGCGCGCAGCGCGCCGCCCCGCGTCGCGGCTGTGCTCTTCCTCGACGGGCGGGCCCCCCACTCCGATTGGGCCCCCCCCGATTGCGTTCTGCGCCATTTCAAGCAGAGGGGCGATGCGCAGATTATGTCCCTCGAGCTTCTAGTGATCGCGTTTGGCCTTTCCACGTTCAGCGACGCGCTCCCGGGCAGGCGCGCGCGCCTCTGGTCTGACAACGTCGGTGCCGAGGCCGCCGCGCGGAAAGGCGCCTCCAAAGAATGGAACTATACGTGTCTCATCAATTCGTTGTGGCTGCAGGCGGCGCAATTGCGCGTCTCGCTCCGCGTCGACCGCGCCCCCTCGCAGCTTAACGTTGCCGATTTGCCGTCGCGGGGGCAGCGCTGGCTCCTTCGCGTGATCGGCGCTTCTCTCGTGCAGCCGCGTCTTAGCGAGGCATGCTGGAAGCCCGATGCCTGGGCATCTCTTTCGGCTGCGCGGGCGCCGCTGCGCCGCGCGTGAGCGACTGTCGGCCGACAGTTCGGCTTGCGCGCCAAATCCTGTTGCGTCGGCGTGCGTGTCAAAATGCTGTTTTATTCGTTTTCGCGTTGCGTCCGCGTTGGTCGCGCGTAGCGCAGCCGCTCCACGTGCGCGCGGCAGACAGGGCTCGGCGGCAGAAGGATTACTTGGCGCGCGACGACCGTCGAAACGGCAATGGCCGGGCACGCCGCTTCCATGCGAGTCTTCCTGGAGAGAGCCGCAGGCCCTGGCAGGCACGATGCGGCGCGGTTCGATGCGATCGCGGCGGCGCTCGCTGCCGAAAGCGTGTCGCGCCCGTCCGCGCTCGCTGGGACCAAATTCAGAGACTTCCAGTTCCTGGGGGCGGACCTCGATGGCGGCCAAAAGCGGTGCATTCGGGAAGCTATCGCACTCGCGACGAGCGTTCAGGATCACGCATTTCGCGCCGCGAACCAGCTGCATCGCGCCCGCGCGCGCAGGTGGCAGACCAAGTCCAGTGGCCGGCGCCGGCGCGGGCGCAGGCCGCCGGGGGCGTTGCCGTCGAAGCTCCCTTCGAGTCAAGGGCTGCGGAGGCGCAGGGGGCCCGCGCGCCGCAGTGCGGCGGGGGCCCGCGTGCGGAACTCCGCAATCTTCGCCGGCGGCTCGACAGCGAGGAAGGCCCAGCGTGCGTCGCTGAGCAGCTGTCTTCGGCGCGCGCAGCGGCCCTCCTGGGCGCGCGCCCGCGCTCCATCGCCTCTTTCAAGAGCGGCGCGGCAGCATGGTTCGCGTTCGCGCGCGAGGCTCTTGCGCTGCACGGGCGCGAGCTGCCGCCGTCCGCTGACGGGTTGCTCGCGCGGTCGCTGCTGTTTCGCTCCGACCAGACTTTTTCCAATTATGTCTCTCACGTCAAGCTGGCTTGTCAGGTTTGCGGTCTCCCTGTAAACGTTTTTCGTGACACGCCCCTTCGCCGCGCCAAATGCGCGATTCGCAAGCGCGGCGCTTCCTGCCCAGGGCGCCTCTATTCATCAGGGAGGACGCAGTTTGCGCGCTGCTAAATCTGGCAAAAGAGCGGCACGAGTCCGCCGTCTTCGCGCAGCTCTTTCTTGTCACGTACGTGTTTCTCTTGCGCCTTCCCTCGGAGGCCCTGGGCATTTCGTTCGACGGCGTAGCCTTTCGTCGGGGCGCAGGGGCTTCACTCATTCTGTGCGACGGCCTCCTGCAGCTCACATTGGCGCGCCGCAAGAACAAGCAATTCGGGTCCGTGCTCCAGCGGGCGTGCTGGCGCGCGCGCTGCACCAGGACGCGCCCGGCCCACGCGCTCGGCGCATGGTTCGCGGGCCTGCCCGTGGGCGCCCGGCCGTTCGCGGACATTTGCGCGGCAAGCTCGCTGAGCACGCTGTGCTTTCTCCTCGGCCAGCTCGGCGTCAAAGACGCGGCGCTCTATCGCACGCGCGACCTGCGGCGCGGGCACGCACTGGACCTCCATCAGAGGGGGGGCACCTTGCGCGAGATCCTTCAAGCGGGCGAATGGTCCTCGCCCGCGTTCCTGTCGTATCTCGATATGACGCAACTAGAACTCGGCGCCGTGGTCGAGGCGCGCCTGGCTGAGTCCGAGGACGAACTTGCCTAAGCAATGACGACCCAGGCGTCGCGCGATGCCCTCGCGCGTTCGCCTCCACCGCCGCGTGTCACAACACCGCGGCGCCGCCGCACGCATCACCCGTTTCGCAAGGGGCGTGCGTGCCGCGCGCGTCGCCGCCGCGCGGCGCACCAGCATTCATCGGCTGGGGGTACTTGCATCCCTGGCGCCCCCGCGCGTCGGCTCAGACTGGCACCGCCAGGCTGGGCGGCGCGGGGGGTGCCGCACCCCTTGTCAAGTGGGCGCGGGCACCCTCGGGTGCGGGAGGCTTCTGGCGCAGCTGAAATTTGCGGTGGGCGCCCAACGCCATCGAGAGCGCGCGCGCTCGCTTGTGCTGCGTTGTGCGCGGGCACAAATTTCGCGCCCGCGCCTGGCCCGCGCGCAGGCGGGCGAGCAGGGCGCGCGGGCCGCCTCTCGCTTTCCTGCGCCTCGCGGCGCGCGGCCCCACGAGAAGGGCCCGCGCGCGCGAGGGGGGCGACAGCATGTGCCTCGCGGCGCGCGGCCCCGCGCGAAGGGCCCGCGCGCGCGCGATGGGGGGCGACGGCATGTGCCTCGCGGCGGGCGGCCCCACGCGAAGGGCCCGCGCGCGCGAGGGGGAAGCGACGTCATGCGCGTTGCTCGTTTGCTCTTCTGCTCGCTTCGCGTCGAACGCCCCGTGCAGGCGCGCCGCGGGGATCGCGTCGGGGCGGATCGCGGCGCGCCTCGGGGTCGTGCGGTGTGCAGGCATTGGTGCTTGCATCTTGCTGGCATGTGCGCTTGCGTCCCGCCGTGGCGGGCGGCGCGCGCGCGCTTTCGCCCCACCGTCCCACTCCTGGGGGTACTTGCATCCCTGGCGCCCCCGCGCGTCGGCTCAGACTGGCACCGCCAGGCTGGGCGGCGCGGGGGGTGCCGCACCCCTTGTCAAGTGGGTGCGGGCACCCTCGGGTGCGGGAGGCTTCTGGCGCAGCTGAAATTTGTGACGCCTTTTGGGCCGTCTGGAGGCCATGTTGGGCGGTTTGGTGTACTTTGGAGCTGTCGATGATCTATCTTGGGCAATAGTGGAGGCCTGTGGACCCTCCGAGATGACCAGAAGGCCGAAGGAACCCTTTTGCCAGGGCGTCCGAGCAGCCCGGAGGGGGCTTCCAAGCAGCCCGGGGAGTCCGACAGTCGGTCGAGACGGTGTGTGTGTGTATATATATATATATATATATATATGTACATCTAAATGTATGTATATACACATTCTGCATAGATACACACATACAGCCAGGGTGCGACGAAGCACTGTTTGGGGGTCGATGCTGGCAAGCATGGTGTTTTGCCTGCAATGCAAGAATTCAGGTCCCCGACTCGTTGAGTCCAACGTGTGCGTCAATGCTTTGTTCCAGGTCCCCACGCGGGTTCTTGGCAGCCTGAGCAATTCTGAGGGGACAGCCAAGCTGAGGCAGGAATCGGAACTCGTGGCGGGGCAGTCCGTGCCCCTCCCCCACCCTGGGCAGCGCAGCGGTGTGGAGCGGAACCGAACGAACTGGCAGCGCAGCAGCAGCAGCAGCAGTAGCAGCAGCAGCAGCAGCAGCAGCGAAGCCCAGCACTGGCAGCCCCCCCCCACCCCGTGACGGATATGCGCGGCAGCGCGACAGGATGATCTCCTCCGCATCTCCGCGGAGCTTCGTGGCCTGCACGAGCTTGGGAACCAGCTCGTCCGAGTCCTTCATCCTCGCGGCGGTCTGGGTGAGCGCCTGGCAGAACAGGGCGCGGGGAGCGTGCTTGCGGCACGCCAGCCTTTCCTCGTCGTACTCGATGCCGCTGCATGTCTGGTTGACCAGCCCCTTGATTTGAGCCGATGCCAGGGCTTTCGTCACCAGGCGGGGGAAGGCGGAGCCGTCGTCGCGGCTGCTGGCAGGCCACGACGTGTCCCTGGCGAATCTGAATAAGGCCGAACGGAAAGCGGTGTCCACACCGAACTGCTTCGACGACCTGTTCATGGTGGCGTTCAGAATCCCCTCGAGCTGCGTCAAGCTGCCTGAAATCCAGCCCTCGAAGCCAGCCAGCTCGAGCGCCTCGCAGAGCATTTTGTCCACCTCCACGACGGCGCACGTGGTGTTGCCCTTGCCGCAGCTCTTGTGCAGCTTCTCCTGGACCCACGTGTCATTCTGGAAAAGGCTCTTCACTTCCTTCGGGTAGTACATCGACTACAAAGTTCATTTAACACCAAAACTAATGCTTTCGTTGACCATATGTAAAAATGCCACCAGGATACATTCTACGTGCTGTCGTAGATCCGAAGAAAAAACAACTCTGGGGTACATCAATTCTGCAGTCGATGCCCGTAAGATTCTAAGACAATGTTTGATTCTGGGGTAAACCAATTCTGCAGTCGATCCCCGAACTCGAATCCTGCGCCTCCGCGGGCCCAGTCTTGACCCACCTGTGGAGCATCCGGTTGCCGGCCTCGTCGACCACCACCGCTTCCTTCTTCGCCTCCGAGGACCGGTTCAGCTGTGCCGCCGCGGACCCAGAGCTCTGCTGCAGCTGGACAGGGGCCGCGGCCACCTGCTGCCCCGGATCCCCCGACGCCGTGATCTCTCACCCGCGTCGAACCGCGGCGGTCCCGATCAGTTTCGGGTGCGGGCGACATTCCAGGCGCCTCCCCGGGGCCAGGAGCGACCACGTATCGATGAGCGCCCTGGGCAGCGGCGCTGAAACCAGCTCCGCGCCGCAGACTTCATCATCCCGCCTGGCAGGCCCCGACCCCCTCCCAGGGGCAGCTCCTGGTCCTGCGTCGTTTTGCCTGGAGGCCCTGGGGCGCAGAAGAGGGCCCCCCCAGAGACCGACGCTGGCCACATGGAGGCCTCCCGGAACGGGCCAGGCTGCGCGGGGTCGGAAGAACGCGCTGCATCGGCTGTGCATCGGTGACGCCTGGATCGGATTGGGAAAATCGGGCACCAACTGGCGCTGCACCGCCGATGCATCGGCGATGCGGCACCAGGAGGAGGAGGAGGAGGAGGAGGAGGAGGAGGAGGAGGAGGAGGAGGAGGAGGAGCCTCCGGCCCCGTCTGCGCCAGCCCCACGGAATCACTCCGGCGACGAGATCAGACACCGCCCCTGGCCAGGCCCATCCTGGGCTCCAGGAGCAGAGGATAGCTGTACAGATGTCGCCGCCCTGTCGAGGAGGCCTGCATCGAAACGGCCTCTCCCGAACTCGAGGCGCCAAGGTTTTCTCACGTCGTCGACCTCCAGAGGTCGAGAACCCTGCCCCGGGACCGGTTTTGCATCCCAGGCAACTTTGTTGACGCTCCCGAGGCTCGATGAGGGCCCCTGGAAGTCGAAAACGCGTACGCGAAAGTCCCTCCCGTCTCGATCTCTCCCCGGCGAGAGGATCGGCGGCGAGCGAGGGGGAGGACGTGAGAGGGGCGGGCCTTCTCAGAAGGCTCGGAAGTCCCCCCGCCTTCAGAAAAGTTGTCCCAGCCTTCCCCGAAAACACAAAACCCCTCTCAGAAGGCCAGAGGCCTTCTGAGAAGCCCCGCCGCCTTCTGACAAGGCCTTCTCCTTCTCACTTCCCCCCCGCTCTGTTTTCAAATTATGTGGATGCGTGGCTGCTACATGTAGGTGCTTCAAAAAGAAATGGCCGATATGTTTAACATTCGATTTCTGCATGCGGTTAGGCTCCTAAGATACAAACACCTATGATATTTAAATGAACGCCCTACATAAAACGCACGTAGGTGAATCCCTCGATGCTTCAAGCGCGAATCCTGGCGAGAGGATGTGGGGGTCCGTCGCGACTCTGCTCCCCGCCGCCAGAGGGCCTGCTCCTGGAGCTGCGCCGCCGGCTGCTCCTCTGCCTTGGGCGCTGCCTCCTGGGGGCGACAAAACCAGGGAGACGAAGGAACGTGCGCCCTTCGCGCCCCTTCTGAGCCCCAGAGGGCCCCCTTGAGGCCCAGAAGGTGCGCGAGAGGTGAATCTTTGAGACGCCCGCGTTATCCAGGATAGCTCCAGTCTGGAGTAACTCCAGCTTGGGCCCTCGATGCACGAACCAGGAACTACCCCCGACAGCCCCCAGCCTCGATGACTCGAACGGTGGACGACCGAGCGATCTGGGACCACTGCGGTGCGGGGCCACTCCGGCTCGGGC